TAGCTCGACAGCGCGCGCTCGCCCACCCGCCGCTCCACCAGCGAGTAGGACACCAGCGCGTTCTCCTGCGCGTCCGCGTCGTGCGCCGACACCGTGAAGATGTGGCTGCCGGGCGGGTTGTTCTCCTTCACGAACACCGTGTACTCGGGCTGCGCGAAGGCGGGCGCGTTGTCGTTCACGTCGGCCACCTCCACGGACACGCTGGCTGTGGCCGACAGCGAAGGTGATCCCCCGTCCCGCGCTGTCACCACTAGAGCATAGGCCGACACACTCTCTCGGTCCAGGACCCTGTCCAGCACCAGTGAATAGTAATTCCTGTAGGTAGACACCAGCTTGAAGGGCATATGGGGTGTTAGGGTGCAGGTCACTTGACCGTTGGCACCAGAGTCGCGGTCGGATACTGTGATCAAGGCGATGACCGTGCCCTGTGGCGCGTCCTCTCGGATGGGGGGTGAAAGAGACGTTACGGAGACTTCTGGTCTGTTATCATTGATATCCATGAGTTTTACTGAAACTTTACAGTGCCCTGACATTGATGGAGTTCCTTTGTCAGTTGCAATGACTTGAATCTCGTAAGATTTCATTTCTTCATAGTCTAGTTGTCCGTTAATTTTGATTTCTCCTGAGCTGGGATCTATTTTGAATTTGCTTTGTATACTGGAGGGCATGTCACTACTGAGCGAATACACAATCTCGCTGTTCAATCCTTCGTCTGCATCAGAAGCATTCAGTTTAATCACTAAAGTTCCATTTGCGATGTTTTCTAACAATTGCACTTTGTAAACTGATTGATCAAAACTAGGTTCATTGTCATTCACATCTAATACCTTAATAAGCAGTTCCACGGTGCCTGTGAGCTCGGGTTTGCCCCCATCAGTAGCGACCAGTAACAAATTAATCTCGGAAGTTTCCTCTCTGTCCAAAGATTTCTTCAGTACAAGAGACAGAGATTGGCTTACTTCATCGTTTGTCTGCATGTCTAGAAAGAAAAACTCACTGGAGCTGAGCTTGTAGGAGAGGAGAGCGTTTACTCCGATGTCCGCATCAGATGCTCCCTCTAGAGGAAACCGCGAGTCAAGCCGCCTTGATTCATGAAACCAGATAGTCTTAACCTTCGTTGGAAAAATCGGAGGGTTGTCATTAATGTCCTTCACCTCCACCTCCACGTGGAAAACCTGCAGCGGCTTCTCCACGATCACCTCCAGGTGGACGCCGCACACCGCGCTCCGCCCGCACAGCTCCTCGCGGTCCAGCCGGGAATTCACGAACAGGATGCCGTTCTGCAGATTCACCTCCAGAAAGTCCCCGCGGCCTTTGGACGCCACCCGGAACAGGCGCGGCACCAGCTCGGCCAGCTCCAGCCCCAGGTCCTGCGCGATGCGGCCCACGAAGGTGCCGTGCTTGGCCTCCTCGGGGACCGAGTAGTGGACCTGGCCGCTCCCAGTCTCCCAGGCTGCCAGGAGCAGAAGCCAGAGCAGCAGATGCCGGACTACCCGGCCCCCTCTCATAGAAAACACCATTACCAATCCTCAGCGAGTGAAATTAGGAAAACATGTCTTGCCAACGTGTAAACAGTATCTTCTACTCTCTGCTCAAATCCTGCTGCTTTTCTTATTGTTCCTCTTCTCTGGAGTGACAAAGGGCGCTTGCTATTTTTCCTTCCTAGAGAGGACTCTGTGGTAGACAGCGACATCATGTGGTTAAAATGTAGGCTCTAGTCTTTGCCATCTAGATTTTATTTAAACCACACAATTTTCTGGGCTAAGTTTTTTTTCATGGTTTGTATCTTGGGAAAAGTACCCATTTTAAACTTTGAAACATATTACCATCTATCTTTCTTTTATCATTTTTTTTTCAAACAAAATACATAGCAATCAAAGAGAATTTTAGCCAACTAAAGATATATTTGTGTATACCTTTGTTGTTTTTTGTGATTTAATTTTTTTTAAATTGTTTACAAATGTTTAAAAGTTAACTTATTTTATTCGCACTTGGATAATTCAATTTTTTTTCTTATCTACTATATTTGGGTTTTGATACAAGAAAAATACATTTTTTTGTGCTAATTATTTGAGAATATAGTATTTTACTAATCTCAGCTGATTCTTTAATATTTAAATATGAAAATAGATAAAGATAATATTGAGTTAAATAAGGGGTATCCAGGGGCCAAGTTAGTGTATAAAATGCATATTAAAAGATCATTATCAATTGCTCTCCATAGTTTCCTAGAGAAAAGAGGAAAACAAAACAAACCCCAAGATTCCCATTGTCTATAAAAGAAAATCAAAATCCTTGCTCAAAAGCAGTTAGGTTTTCTTGGTACTGGAGCCCAATAATGATTTTTCCTTTAATCCAATATTTTAAGATACTTATTTACACCATCTATATTAATCACTACTCTAATACTGAACCCCAACTAAATTGACTTAAGCAAACATTTATTGGCTTATACATGGATATGGGTAATGCATTACTGGTTTCAAGCAGAGCTAGAGCTACGCATTTTAATAATGCCATTGGAAAATATTCTCATGTCTACTATTTCTTTTCCTCTCTGGAGGGAACCTTATGCTTAGGTAGACTTTTCCCATGTGATGGCAAAATAGTCAAGACAACATTTAGGTTTCTATATTATTGGTGTAACAACTCATAACAGAAAGAAATTGTTTTGTCCCTAATGTTGTTGTTGTTGTTATGTGCCGTCGAGTCGGCCCCGACTCATAGCGACCCCTCCTTGGGTTTCCGAGGCAGTATCACTACGGAAGTAGGATTGCCCAACCTTCCTTCCGAGGAGTGGCTGGTGGGTTTGAACCGCCAGCCTTCTGGTTAGCAGTCCAGTGTTTTAGCCACTATGCTACCAGAGCTCCCTAATAGCCTACTACAAATTCTAGACTCAGTCCTTTGACCCAGTTTGGGTGATGTATCTTTCCTTCAGTCAGGAGTTCTAATGGCTCTCACACTGACCTGACATGTGTCACTTGTTTACACCGGCAGATGGCATCAGCTAAATTATGTGGACTAAGAAGGGTGAGGTTGGTTCCTGCCAAGGCCAGGACAAAGTCCCATGTACCCAAATTCTCCTAGAGTTGAAACTGATTGCACATAGTCACAGATTGGCCATTACATCATCACATAGCTTCAATGCAACTATCTAGGTGTGATATTCAGTGTTTGTAATATAATCAGTGGCCAATGTAGCAAAATGGCACTGTTGAGATATAACAGAATTAAACATAGAATCTAGGTGTTTGATCCAAGGAAGCAGGCTTGTTTGAGGTAATTTTTGAAATTGTATAAGGTCATTTTGCAAGATTTTCAGGGTTACTTGTTTGAGGGTATGAGATTTTGTGCTGCTCCTCAGGGTTTTCAAGGACTTAGAATATCCCCACTTCCAACCCAGAGAGCCAGAGTGACATCACCAGAACCAAGAGCACATTTCCTCCAACGGGAAAAGGAGACTGAGAAGCCATCATCAACAAAACCCACCAACTTGACATCTCTTATTACCCAATGCAAAAATTGTATCCTTTACATTTATCAAAGCACACTGCCAGTTCCATAAGGTTTATGTGTCCAAGCATTCATTCTTGCAAGAAGGTCAACCCACTCTTCCACAAAACTACTACAAAGCCCCAAAAGAAAACAAAAATGCTGTTACAAGAAGAGTAAATGGATGCAAGGCAAGAAAAATAAAATAATAATAAAAAAACCTCACTGCCATCAAGTCAATTTTGACTTATAGTGACACCTATGAGTTGGTTTCCAAGGTGCTATCTCTACAGAAGTAGATTGCCCAATCTTCCTCCTGAGGAGTGGCTAGTGGATTTGAACTGCCAGCCTTCTGGTTACCAGTCAATGCCTTAGGCACTACACACCAGAACTAGTGGCTAAAAACCAACTCTCTCATTCTCATTTCTCTGTATTCTTGACTGACCACAAGTCTCAAAGGTTCCTCAAGTGATCCTTGAGTTTTCTAATTATTTATTGTTGTATCAGAAAATAGAATTATAATTATAATCTTAAAAAAAGGAAGTTTCTAGGGAAAAAGAGGCAACATGTCAAGAAATATAAATCTTCTCAAGCACTCTTCCTTTTATTTCAGGCAGTGGAAAAGACAATATTTTCCTATAGATGAAATCGCATTGGTAGTATCATACCTAGGAGCTCTGGTAGCGTAGTGCCTAAGGCACTTGACTGCTAACCAGAAGGCTGGTGGTTCAAACCCACCAGCCACTCCTTGGAAGGAAGGTTGGGTGATCTACTTCCATAGTGATACCATCTTGGAAACCCAAGAAGGGGTCGCTCTGAGTTGGGTCCGACTTGAAGGCGCATAACAACAACAACCACCATCATACCTAGGTAACTTGAAAATAAAATGGCCCTTTATGAAATAATCTTGATGGACCCCAAACTAATTACTGAAGTTGAATAATAAAAACAATAATGTATACTTTTATCAAGATTTTACTGAGAACAATGATAGTTTTTATTTCTGTTGGAGAGCTTGGAAATTGGAGTTTCCACAGAAAAATGAGAGCCACCCTGTTATTCTCAAGATGTCAGCACAATCATAAAGGTATCTGACTACTAGCCGGAAGGTTGGTGGTTCAAACCCACTAGCCACTCTGTGGAAGCAAGACTGGGCAATCTACTCCCGTTAAGATTTACCACCTTCTACTCAGCAAATGGTGCTTAATTCCAGTAATCTTAGATTATCACTTTTCTAACCTATATAATTTTTTTTAAATGTTATTGTGATTTGGGTTAAAGTTTACAGGGCAAGCTCATTTTCTATACAGCAGTTCATCCACATTTTGTTTTGTGACATTGACTGCACTTCCTCCCAATGTAGCAGCTCTCTTTCCATTTCCTCCCTGCAGTTACCTCTTCCCTGTGTCCTTCTTTCCTAAGCATTCCTGCCCCCGGAGCTATCTCCATTTGCAAATATTGTTTAACCTATAGAAATTCTTGAAGAAGCAAAGTGTTCCATTCTAGTTTCAAATCCCAGCCTCTACCTGGAAAAGAAAAGAATGTATTTACCCTTTCAATACAATTCTTGATTTTCAGTTTGGCCTTAGAACAGCTTACTCTATCTCTCTCAATTGTTTGACCTTTTAATTGTCCCTTTAAAGGCATTTTACAGTTACTTGATATTTTTCTCTTGTGCTGAGGGAATGAAAATTACACTGCTTTCTGAGTACTGTTCGCATAAAGAGGAAATGGTTTAATCTTCATTGTTTTCAGAAAACTTACTAATAACGTTATATTTTCTTGTCTAACTCTTCAGTCACAAATACAATACGTTCCTCCTTTATGTACATTTTGGGGAGACAAAGAAAATTTAGGAAAACAAATACTGAACTAAGTTTTTCTGATCCTCAGGTACTCATCCATAAAATGGGACTAAAGTAAGTCATTAAATAATTGAATGAGGTGGAAATGAAGGGTTTGAAAACATCTGATAGTAAATGGGAGTTATTCCATAATTGCTTCCTCACTAGATCTCCTAAATAACAAATTCATGCAATGTTAAGCCTTCTAGACCCAGGTAAACTTAAGGTCAATGGCATCAGGAAGTTGTCTGCAATGACAATTAAAGTCGTGGTTATATGTTTTAACATGGAAATTTGAAAAAGCTTCCTATTTACATATTTTAAAATTACATTTACATAAAACTATTCTTTTTGTTGCTCACTTTTAATGTTAGCAACCTTAAGAAAAGGTAGATGGTTCTTGTAACTTTGCCTATTTCTCCAGGGCTAGACATTTTACTAGGAGATAGAGGTCATGATATCTATATTTTGATTAGTTTAGTATTTGATCACCTTGAGATCCCGTTAAATATGAACACTACAGAGTATTTGAGCAGTTTTTAAAAGTATCTTACCATTTCAATCAAGGAGCATGACAATTTGTCCCTACTTTTTTTTTTTTTTTTTAATTCCATTGAAGACACAGCTTCAAGTAATAAATAGCTACATTAAATGGCAAGTTTTGGCTCGATGTTAGCAAACACCTTGAATAAATTTTTAAAAGTGATATTTGAAAATATTGTTAGAGTGCACCAATTAAAAAAAAAAAAAAAAGAAAAGAAAAAATACTGTTAGATAAGTTAAAGCTCCAAAGTTGGACTTACATTACCAAAAAGATCCGAATTTGCTTCTGGATGTTCATTTCTTTCTGCCACGTTCAGAACCGGAGGTTGGCTGGGGCTGAAGGCCATAAGGTCTGTCTTGGGCGGCCCCTCCCCAGAGCACACCCTCTGCCTCCTCTGCTGGGAGTAAGACCAGCTCCCCACCGCGCTGGCGTACACCAGCGTGGGCTTCCCCGGCCCGCACGCGCCCTCTTTCGGCGGCGCCGAGCACCGCAGCGCCGTGTACAGCACCAGCGTGAGCACCAGCAGGCTGGACACCGCGCAGACGGCGATGATCAGGTACACGTTGACATCGACCAGTGCCGCCTCTCGGTCCTTGGCGCCTGTCAACGTCCTTGACGACGTCTTCAAGGCCTGGCCTCTCTCCACAAGTGACACCAGCACAGTGGCCGTGGCTGTCAGGGGGGGCTCGCCATGGTCCTTCACCAGCACCAGAAGGCGCTGGCGCGGCACATCCGCCTCATCGAGGGCGCGCGTCGTGCTCACCTCGCCGGTGTACAGACCCACGCGGAACGGGCTGCCCGCGCCGCCCGCCGC